ATATTATATTTATCTTAAAACAAATGGTAAATTTGTATCATTTGAGTCATTTTAAGACATTTTTCTGTGTTTCAACGTTTGTTTTTGTTCCTTTCAGTTGATTTTTCTGTCGCCTCTTCTTTATATTAGCTCGGCAGTTTAAAAATAAATATAACTTGCATGATAAAGCACATTTTTATTGTCCTGCTTTTGTGAGTCTTTCTGATTTTACAAGTTTTATTAAATTATTTAAATGAGCAGTGATGGGTTCACCAACAATTTAATAAATCAGCTTGTYCAAGTTATACTATTAAAAAGAAAAAAAGATAAATGTTTTATAGTCCTTATAATTAAAGTTGATGTAGCGTGGTTTTACATTTTTACCTGCTTGATCATGGCCGCTGGAGGAAGAGGGAGCATTTTTTTTATATCTGTGTAAACCTGAAATTAGATTTTTAAGTTATGACTCCTCTGATTTTAGGAACTCTCATGTAAATTCCCATAATATTTGGCACAAATATAAATCTCTTTCATGCAATAATTTTGATGACTAACTGCATGAACATATTGTCTAAAATGTTAAACTTATGTGGCAGGAAGTTGTCCTTATAAGGGCAGACAGCTGCTTAAATATGCAGCTTTTATAACTAGACCCTTTATCTTGTGTTTTATGGACTAAAAATATTAAAAAGAACTACGGAAAATAGAAAACAACAACTTCTCCAATACAGAGCATAAAGACTAAAGCCTTCCAAACAGGACTAAAGTTTTTAGTCTTTTCCCAATTTTCTTGTTTTATGTTTAACATCCTCTTGTCAGCTGTCAAACGTTTTCAACTACAAATTATTTGGAAATTACGTAACATTTCCCAGGTTGACAGAACAGTTGCTTCTTTAAGTTCACTAAAAATGTTTTTTTTCTCCTTTAATGTACATGAAAAGTCTGCATCAACCAACTGAAAACCTTTAGCTTCAGAGATCACAACTGTTGATCAGTTAATGAGGCAAATTTGAAACCCCTGACTGTGATTTGCTTACATTTCTGTGGAAGCCCTACAGTTGTTTCACAAGACTTTTGTATTTTGTTGTCATTTTCTGAAACACGTTCACCAGGAAGTGGTTGTTATTAGCCTTAACACTGACACATGAGTCAAATCCCCTGAACTGAAGTGTTTCTCTGTGGTGTTAGCTTCAGCTATCGTTTTATTTAGTTTGTTTTGCATTAAACTAATTTTAGACCAAATCCAAACAGAGTAATAATAGTGGACGTCACTGAAACACCCCACAATAACACATGGGCATTACATGGATCCCCTTGTATTACAATGAGTTTTGGCGCTCAGTATTAAACAATGACGCACATCTATTTCTTACATATTTTTTAATCCAATTTGTTCCACAGACAGCCTCAGCATTTGCTTTCAGAGCGGTTGGTCAWATTGTTAATTAAAAAGACTGAACACAGAGACCTGACTCAATGCATTCAAACAGTGCAATTCCCAGTTTGTTTGTAGCCCCGCTCGATCAGTGACTGCTCAACCCCAAATCTCTTCCATAGTTACTGTAAAGCAAACAATCTTCAGTCTGAATGAGTGTGCAGCTCCTAATGGGATTATCCCACAAGCCTCAGTGCTCCCATTTCCACCGACATCCTTCTTACTGGGTCGCTTTTGATCTTTTCCCTACGTGGAATTAATCTCGAACCAACTCAGCCGTAATGATTCAATTAACCAGCGGATGTCTTTTTTCGCTCCATGTGTTGCAATTTCCAGTCTTCGTTACAGAATAAAATGCACTTTGCTTCCTATCAAAAGGAACAAATTTCTGACTGTTTCCAGAACTCGGCGTCCTTGAACACTCGGTGATGTATTCGTGTTGTTTAGGATTATGAGATGGAAATAAGCTTATTTGTYGAGCAAAGCGTTTGAAATGATCAACACTGAGTTATACTTTATATCTACAAGGTTGGTACTGCAATGCTTTGACCACTTCCCCTCTGCAGCCAATTCTTTCTGTCACACCAAAGTTCATCCCCACAGTCTGCAGTCATGTCAAAGCATGGTGGGAGAGGTAATGGTTAGAGCTCTGAGCTTTTTTTTTTTGCAACTGCAGGATAAAGCAAGCCATTGAGTCAGCAATAAACATTTTTGGATACTGAAGTGTTCTGATCCAAACTGGGTCATTTAACAAGACAATGGTCCCAGAAACAGCAACCAAGAACCTAAACTAACACAAACCGGTTTTACCTGATACTATCTGAAACGCTATAAGCACGATCAAAAAAGTCTAATAAAAAGCTTTTCAAACCAAGAGAAACTGTTGTGTCAGTCTGAAATTACATGAAAATTTTGCTTAGAAATTAAGTTTAAAGTTGTGATTAGTGGTTCAAACTTTTAGTAATTTACATTAAAAAGTGATTAAATTTTGAGTGAATCACACATTCACTTTTACAAACTGATGCAACAGAAGTTTCAGTTTGAAAAACAAACTACTTCAGGATCAGTTTTGTGATTTTTGGTCTTAGAACGTTTAAGTCAAATAATCTAAAATGTGGCTGAATTTATTTGATTGCAGTCACTGTATATATTCTGGGAGTTTGACCTAATTTCTTGTGCATAGCTTCAAATATACCAAATAAGTCATAGTGTTTCAGCTTCTGTCAGAGGAGTTGTGAACCTGAGAACTGATCGGGGATTTCTTTGTGACAATGCTACATACATCTACATGACGCACAAAGTTTAAACTAAAAACAAAAAAATTACATTTAATCCCTTCATCAAAACAGAGTTTCTGAACAGTTTTAAATGAGTCATTTAAGTCACTCTGTAATAATAGTTATGGATTAGCCTGGCCCTTGTCTTCCTACGCAGTTCCGCTCAATTCTAGTTTCTCACAAAGTGAAGGACAAGGGTCTGGTTTTTATCAGGTTAGATATAGATTATAGATTTATTGAAAAATCAAATCAACTTAAAGTTGCTATGATGTAATTATTTCTCCTCTGATGCCCTCTGCTGTCAGACTTCTCTAATTACAATCAAGGCTATCAGTGAAACATGCTGGT